TATTGTGAAAAGAATGTGCGCGGCGCTCAAGCGACAAACGACCCGCCCTCAACCCGTGAAGCTCCTGCAATGTTGAAACGGATGTGCGCGGCGGTAATGCGAGAATCACATTGGAAACGACCCGCCCTCAACCCGTGAAGCTCTTATATGTTTACAGCAAGTGTGCGCAGCGCTAATGCGAGAGCCACACTTGGAAAACCACCTGCCATCAAAATGTGAAGATCTTGCTTGATTAGACAACGAATGTTCGCGGCGCAAAGGCGAGAAACACATTTTAAACCCGCCCGCCCTCAAATCCGCGACACTCTTCCGGAGTTTGAGACGATTGCACCCAGCGCTGAAGCGAGACCCACATTTTGGAAGCGACCCGCCTTCAACCATTGAAACTGTCGCCAATTCTTAAGTTCGGATTCGTCAGAAGTAAAGAGGTCTCAAGCGAAATGCCTGGCAGGCCCTCCGACTGGCTCCGGGGTGCGACATGGCGGCTCTGTTCACAGTGAAGAAAGAAGAGGAGGAGGAGGAGGAAGGACGAGGGAAGGACGAGGGAAGGAGGAGGTAGGTCGGCCAGCGCCCACGGCCCAGGGACGCCCAGCCGGCCGAGGCCAAGGCTGAGGCGGGGCTGGCCTTCGCGCCCAACCCCCTTGGGCCAAGAAACGCTTGCGAGTCCCTCGCTGCGGGCCTCCTCTTCCTGCTGCTTCCTCCTCTTATCTCCTCCTCCTGCTCCTCCTCTATCTCGTCCTCTATATGTCCTCCTGCTCCTTCCCCCCCTCTCCTCCTCCTCCTCCTCTTCTTCCTCCTCCTCCTCCTCCTCCTCGTTCTCTACTCCCACCTCCTCCTCGCACGTAGCCAATTCCTTCGCCGCCTCCTCCTCTATCTCCTCCTGCCTCTCCCCCCGCCTCCTCCTCCCTCCCTCCCTCCTCTTTCTCCTTCTCGAGGAGAAGGAGGCGGTGAGGAAATAGAGGGCGGGGACGGGGAGTGGGAGAGAGACGGAGGGAGGACAAGCTAGGCGCGCTCGCTCCATACCTGACATCGTACCCCTCCCACCCATCCATTCTCGTTGCGCTGTTTCTCTACCTGCGAAAGCTTGTGATTGCGGGCATGGTGCTCCCCAAAATACAGCATCGTGCGATGCGCAATCGAGGACCAAAGGGGAGCTGCGCACATATGACGGGAAGAAGGAGGAGGCGGAGGAGGAAGAGGAAGGCCAATGAAAACCCAAGACTCATCAACGATGTTGGGATCCCTCCAAGCTTCCTCTTCATACGCTCCTACAGTGGTCCATTTCAACTGAAGGAATTGCCCCGTTGGGGAAAACCGTGTGTCAATCCTGAAGCGTGCCACAGCACCAGTCTCAAGACTCCAACGTCACGATATAACCTGACTGTCACGTCTTGGCGATCCTGAATCGTGCCAGAGCGCAATTTCTGGGACTTCAGCGCTACGAGTCAACGTAACTGGTGCGCCCTGACATCACCGAATCGCTGCAGAACGCCATTCCTGACACGTTAGCCATGAGAGCCAATGCAACTCTGGCAACTGGTTGAAACGAATGTGCGCAGCGCCAAAGCGAGAGCCACATTTTGAAAACCACCCGTCCTCAATCCGTGAAGCTCTCTGCACATGTTTAACACGAGTGTGCGCGCCGCTGAAGCGAGAACCACATTTTGAAAACCAACCGCCGTCAATCCGTGAAGATTTTGCGCATGTTTAACACGAGTGTGCGCGGTGCTCAAGCGAGAACCACATTTTGAAAAACACCCGCCCTCAGTCCGTGAAGCTCTTCCATCTTTTAATACGGGTGTGCGTGGCGCTTGGGTGAGAGCCATATGTCGAAAACCACCTGCCCTCAATCTGTCAAGTTCTTGCAACATGTTAACACGAATGTGCGCGGCGTTCATGCAAGAACCACTTTAAAAAGAAAAAACGACCCGCCCTCAATCCGTGAAACACTTGCAAATGTTTGAAACGAATGCGCGCGGCGCTAAAGCAAGAACCATATTTTGGAAACGACCCGCCCTGTATCCGTGAACTCTTGCCAATGTTTCAGCTTCGGGCTCACAAATGGTGAGAAAGTCTTAAGCGAAACGCCTGGATCGCTTTTTTCGACCGGCCTCGGGGTGCGACAGGGAGGAGTTATCTACAAGGATAAGGAATGGAGGAGGTGCAGGGTGAGCAGGAGAAAAAGGAGGAGAAGGAGGAGGAAGGAGGACGACGACGACGACGAACAGCAGCAGCGGGAACGGGAGTGGAAGATATTGGCGGAGCAGGAGGATCAGGGGAAGGCGGAGGAGAGAAACACGATGAGGGACACATCCCAAACAGAAAATTGGCCAGCGCTGGGGCGAGAGCGCCATTCTGAACGACGTGAGCAAACCACCGATCCAAACATGAGGCCGACGCTGCAGCGGGAACACCATTTCGAGCGGCCGAAATCGACCAACTGGTAAAACAAGCCGTACGAACAAACCGGCTGGTGAAATCTGCTGTGTAAGAACACTACGCGGAGAGGGCCGAATATCTTCTGGACGGAGTCAGTGGACCGAGTAGTACTCATAATGTGTAATTGGAGGAGGAGGGGAGAGATGAAAGGAGGATGAGGAGGGACGAGAGATGGTCAGGATTATGTTGTTGATGGTGGCGCTGGTGGTGGTGAGGCGGATAAGCATGGTGATTGTAATGGCAATGATTATGAGGCTGATTCTGATGATGCAGATGATGAAGACGATGACGACGATGCTGCTGCTGATGATGGTGAGGATTCTGGTAATGCTGAGGATGATGATGAGACTGATGCTGCTGATGATAATGAGGCTTGCGTTGAGGCCGGTGGCAATGAGGATGATGAGGATGAGGAAGATACTCATGATCATTACGACGATGATGGTGATGGTGATGGTCATGATGACGATGATGATGATGATGATGATGATGATGATGATGACGATGATGATGATGCTGATACTGATGACGATCATGATGATTATGATGCAGATTATGCTGCTGCGCGTCATTTCTATTCTTATCATTCCTTTCATGTTTGACATTGTTAGTTACTCTTCTTGTTATTACCTCCTATTCGTCTGATTATGATTGCTGGTGCGACCAACACGATTGTCATTATCAATGTCTATTGTTATTGTTAATCGTACTACCACTGTCATTCTCAATATCACTACTCGAACTATGAATATTACCATTATTCTGAATCTAACCGCTATTACTCGCATCCTGACTTTGACTAACATACTGAGTATGAGTATGAGTATGATAATGATGCCGATGATGCTGCTGCTGATGCTGCTGGTGATAATGATGCTGATGATTCTGCTGATGAGGACGATGATGCTGATGATAGTTATGATAGAAATGGGGATGGGAATGCTGCTGCTGCTGCTGCTGCTGCTGATGATGATGATGATGATGCTGCTGATGATGCTGATGATTATGACGAGGAGGAGGAGGAGGAGGAGGAGGAGGAGGATGAGGAGGAGGAGGAGGAGGAGGAGGAGGAGGAGGCGCGGTATTCAGCTATGTCGCGGGTGACTGCATTCTACGTGCATGGGAGGCGGGAAAATACGGCAGCGGGTCCCTAGTCAGCATGGCAACCAGACCTCGTTGTGCCGTGCTGTGGCTCGGGGTGTGCGTGCGGCTTGCCTGGGCCCCCTTGTCTAACCGTCGGGCCCCCCTGTCACGCAAGACGATCAGGACTCAGACCCTGGGCCGCGTCCAGAGGTCCAAAGGCGCACCAAGAGCCTGGCCAGGTCGTGCTGGGGTCCACCACACTGGGACACCCGAGACGGACACGGCACCGAGAGGGGGGGGGGGAAGGGCGTTCCTCCCAGATCCCCGACGTCGTGATTCTTTCATGACGTGCCCCTCAGAAATCTGGACCCCTTCCCGGGGGCCGGTTTTTGCATCCCGAATCGTTTTTTGACGGTCCCGAGGCCCGGGAAGGGCCCCGGGAGCTCGAAACTAGCGAAACACCTCGCGTCGTTTTTTGTACAGCGCGAGGGGGTCAGGGCTTCGATGCGCCGATCGTCGCCGCAGCGGGGAGCTCCCAGTGGTGCTGTCGCAGCGGGTGCGCATATCCCCGTCGGGCGGGGCATCTGCAAGAAGGCAGCGGGAGCAGAGGCCCCGCACCAGGTGCACCACGCAATGGCAACATCCGAGGCATCGCCCTGGCAGGACGCCTCGGACTACATCCGAGCGTTGCCTCGGGGGGGCCATTTCGGACGAGATTATGTTAGGTCGGGCATGTCCCCCTACAGGCAGCGTGTGGACGAAAAACTAAAAGTAACAACACATTCGCCAAGGGACAGGCCCGACATACGAATGATGTCACGATAGGATTGGCCGAGGATGCGCTTCGGGCCTTCTGGAATATCTGGCGGCCCTCGTTTCTGCAGCCCCGGCGGAACATCAGGGCCTCCAGCGAGAGATCCTGGCAATCTCGGGAGCGTGTCACTCTCGTGACCTCCTGCTCCTCTGACTTGGCTCCCAGGGGGCCCGCCTCAAAAAAGCCTCCTCGCCCTCCCCGCTTGGAGAGCACCTCGGCCCTCGCGGTCCAGCAAGGGCTGGACCCCCTCGGAAGCCTCCGCGGGGGGCAGACATCCGAAGCCCACGGGCAGGCACCCGTGGAGCCATCGTGGGCCACTCGGGCCCGACGTGCTCGGCAGGAGACCGCCACAGGGCATCGGCCACTTTGCTGTCGGGGAGACGGAAGACTCGGGTACGGGGGACTCGGGCTGGGCCCAACGGGGCCATCATAAAAATGACGAGGCCCACTCCGAAATTTGGCGCGGGCTCCCGCTGCAGACATCCCACGAAAACTGGACCGTCAAAATCCAGGACGCGCTCGTCAAAAAAGTTGGCAAACCCGAGCTCTGGCTTACTCGAGTCTTACGTTTCCCCGATTGCTGGTGGGAGGCGCAGAGCGGGCAGCTCGGTTGACCAGAGAGCTGCACCCTCGACCTCGACCAGCCGTTCCCTTCAGCTGATGCCTACGTCGCCCGCTGGGGCAAACTCATCCGCATGAGGGTTCCCGACCAACTGCTCGTGCGCGGTGCGCCCTCCCTGGCGTCGAGCTCGGGCAAGTGGCACTCGAGGTTCGTGGCCGGCGATCCCCCGTGCGCGTCGTCGACCTCTGACCACCAATCCTGTCTGGGCTCAGGCCCGGGCACGAGAAAAGAGCCGTTGCACGCGTGCGGTGGTGGTTTTGCAACCCACGCAGATCACAGTGCTAAGGGAGTCACCAACGTGTCGGGCAGGCTGGCTGGTGTGGGCTGCTCAGTCCTCCCCGTCCCCGGCGGGCCACCTGCCGGGACGCCGCGGACAGCGGAGCAACGCCATCAAGAACCGACACGGCCGCACCATTCTCGTCCGTGGCGGCCACGCACCATCCCGCATCTCGAAAGCCAGGGTGTTCATCTTCGTGGCCAGCTCCATCTGCGGAGACAGCAGCGATCGGAGGGACGACAATCCCACTCGTGGGTCATCGGATGCGCTGGAGGTCCTCGATGTCGGCGTCTCGGCTTCGTTCCTCGAAGCATTCTGTTGGATCAGGAAACGACCATCGGGCAAACTGCGCCTGGCCCTCCTCCGAAAAGGATTAATCTTGCCTGGCAGCTCTGGAGACGTGGATGCTCAATTCGTCTATCCGGGTTCCTCGTTCAGCGCCCCGACTGTAGCGGGGAGGTCCATCTTCGAGCCAACCTTCGATGGTACAGTTAGCCCGTATCATAAGGACGCACGATCAGGATGCAGGGGCCTTGGGAGACTATGTCGACACTTTGTGAGCGGGGCGCGGCCAGCAAAAGCGGCCAGGGATGGACCGAGGAGGCAGGGATGCAAGGGTACCCTTGGGAATGTTGCCCATCCTTACTATGCGGCTTGACTGTAGGCTTAGGTCGGGCCCGTCCCCCTACAGGGGGAACTTGGTTGACATATTAAAATACTCAATAAATAACCAAGACATGCTCAAAAACAGTCAAACATCGTCCCCAGACGATGTTCTGACTATCTTTAAATATTCCGCCTGTAGAGGGACACGCCCGACTCAACTGTAGGGTCGCCATGAAGGGTGCTACTGGCTGCCTTGCGTAACCTCATGGGCTCCCCATGCCAGGGACTCCAAGCCCGCCCTGGGAGGATATGTCATTCCTCCTGCTGCTCCTCCTTCTGCCCTCCCTCCCTCCCCCTCCCTCCCTCCCTCCCCCTCCCTCCCTCCCTCCCCCTCCACCCTCCCCCTCCACCCCCCCCTCCACCCCCTCCCTACCCCTCCCTCCCTCCCTCCCCCCCCTCCCCCCTCCCTCCCCCTCCACCCCTCCCTACCCCTCCTCCCCCTCCCCCCTCCTCCCTCTCCCTCCCTCCTCCCTCCCCCTCCCTCCCTCCCTCCCCTCCACCCCCTCCCTCCCCCTCCACCCCCTCCCCCCCCCCCACCCCCTCCTGCCCCTCCCTCCTCCTCTCCCCCTCCCTCCCCCCTCCCTGCCCCTCCTCTTTCACCTCCTCTGCCCCAGCTGCACTGCGCGGGACTGCGGGGCCAACAGAGCACGGTCAGGAACTTTGGGAAAACAGCGCGTCGCCGCGGCGGCCCCGGCGCCACACGCCATGCCGTGCGAGCGGATAGCGTGTCGCTCCGCGCCGCGGGGCGGGAGGCTCGGATTTGGACGCCCGAAATGGGTACGGAAAGAATGGGTACAATGCCCAACAACAAAGGTTGTCCCAAACCAACAGCGGCCGCTGTTGGGCGGGCGGCCTTCTGTCTCAAATGGACACAGGCCGCGGCGGCGCGGACAGCGAGTCCTGTCAAAATGAACAGGAACTGCTGTTGGGCACCAGGAAGTGGACAGCGTGTGTCGCGCCGAAGCGCGGTGGGTTAGAACCGGCGGACCGACACGCTAACCACAAGTTCCCGATCGTAGCCCCCTCGGCCTCTCCTTCCTGCTCCTCCTCCCCCTCCTCCTCCTCCTCCTCCTCCTCCTCCTCCTCTTGCTCGTCCTCTTTCTCCTCCTCCTCCTCCTCCTCTTATTCCTTATCCTCCTACTCTTCCTGCCTCGCAGCCGCGCAACAAGTCCAACAATGCCAAACTCAACGTGGCTAAATACACCTCAAAGCAAGCAGACGCAGCTCAGGCGGTCGTCATAGGTCGCCATGCCCACATGTTGGTGGCGGGGCCAGACCCCATCCTCACCTCCTACTCTTCCTGCTGCTGCTCCTCTTCCTCTCGGCGGTGGACAAACCTCCCTTTAGTAAACCTCCCCTTAACGACAACGGCCTGGGACCGAGACCGACGGACCCGAATCCGTAAAAATGACGGCCGCGACGCCCTCTCGCGAACCGAAAACGGCCAATTCCTTAATCGACTTGTCAGGGTAGGAGGTCTGTCAATCTCCGATCCTCCTCGTTCCCTCCAACTCAAGAGCTTCTTCGCCTCCTGCTCCTCCCCCTGCCCTTCCGCCGGCCACAAGTTTGCCCTCCACGGGTCTCCGGACCCCTCCCGAGGCCCACCCTTGCAGACTTTTCACCCCACGTTGACTTCGACAACATCGGCGCCCGACACGTTCATGTGGGCGCCGACGACGGGGAACAAACACTTTCCCGAACATAGATCCTCGCAAAACCTCTTCCTCTTCCCCCTCCGCCTCTTTCTCGTCCTCCTCCTCCTCTTTCTCCTCCTCCTCCTCCTCCTCCTCGTCCTCTTCTCCCATATGTTTTTCTCGCCTCCTCGCTCAGGGACTTCCTCCTCCTTCTCCTCATCCCTCCTTCTCTTCCTCCTCCTCCCTCCTCCTCCCTCCTCCTCCTCCTCCTCCTCCTCCTCCATCCCTCTCTCTCTCTCTTCTCCTCTCTGCTTCCTCCTCTCTCCCCCCTGGCCGGCGAAGGAGGAGGAGGATGAGTACGACGACGTCGGCGACGCGGCGCCCTCTCTGGCATCAGCTTGAGGAGCCTCGGAGGCGCCCAGGATCTCGCGGCTGCCCACGTTGGACGTCATGATGACGATGCAGTTGGAGAAGTTGACGGTGCGGCCCTGCCAAGGCGTCAGAGGGATGGCAAGGATGCCAAGTCTTGCCCAGGACAATGTTGTAGGTTTTTGCCTTCGACCCCGACGTCTTAGTCTTGGAAGCTTTAGGGAGTTCCTGGGACTTCTCGTCGCGACGGCTGGACGGTGGTCGAGAAGCTGGCCAGAATGGAACCCAGGAGGGTCCGGGGACACATGTCGACTGGATTTGGAAACTTTGCCATCGAACCTCGAGGTTTGACGAAGAAGGTGTTTGAACGTTTTCGTATGTTTCCTCCTCCTCCTCTTCTTCCTGTTTCTGTGCGTACATTTAGGTTACACGTATACATTTACATATATATATATATATATATATATGAACATGTTTATGTAAATATGTATACACACATCTGCCACCCTGCCGTAGGCACTGAGTGGGGTGCCTTCAGGCCCCTTGGAGTCCCCTGTGTTGAGTATTGTTATACTGTCTGTAAGGGGCCCAAAAGCCCATCTCCCGGGGCCGGTCGCGTGCCTTTTGGGGCCGGACGCGTGACTCTCGGGGCCAGCCGCGTGACTTTTCCCAGATTCCTTGGGAGCGTGGTTTGGAGGTTTTACTTCCAAGATGGCCTACGATGGTCTCTGGGCCAGTCCTGGAGCCCTCTTGGCACATCTTGGGCTGTATTGGAGGACCTGGGGCCCAGCCCAAGATGCCCAGATAACTGAAACACTGTCGGTCCTGGCATAAATTCAATAGATTCGGTGTTCGGTCTTGAGAATGCCTTAGATGCCCTGGGCCAAGAGGCACTCAAGATCACAACAGGATGGCCCAATAGGCCCCCAAGAGAACCGAAGAGGCCCCCTATATGGCTCCATGAGATGCCCAAGAGGGGAAACTCGAACTGACCATTCGAGCCCCCCACGATGGCTTACGAGACGGCCAAAAGTCCCCGAGGGGGCCCCGAGAGGCTCCCAAGACCCAAGAGGCCCCCAAGAGGCCCCCAGGACACCCCCAGGGGGCCCCAAGAGGTCCCAAAGATGCCTCCAATAGGTGTCCCAAGGAGACCCGAGACGGGTAGTATGCCTCTGGCCCGCATCCCAGGCGTGGTGACTGGTTTGGCCGAAGGCGACTCGATACGCGTTGTGGTAATATGCGCGTATCCGCCACCATGCCTCTGGCACGAAGTGGAGTGCCTCAAGGCTCATGCAGCATCGAGAGGGCTGTGCTGCTGCTGCTGCTGCTGCTGCAGCCAGAACTGTCAGTCTGTCAAGGCCCGGACCGGTCGCTTTCCAGGCCAGCCCGGGTCCGCTGGGCGGGCTCAGGGTCTGCCGGAGTCGCTCGCGTCCCAGGATGGCTGCAGGTTGGTCGAAGAGGCCTCCAAGACGCCACAGTAGGCCTTCAAGAGGCCTCCCAAGAGAGCCCACAGAGGTAAACATCATGGATGTCCCAAGATGTTCGCAGGATTTTGGCATTCTCGCCTGTTCGGCTTTCCGACGCTCCAAGACGGCCCAAGAGGCCTCAAGATGCCCCCAAGAGGCTCCAAGAGGCCCCCAAGAGGCCCAACAGAGGCTCCAAGAGGCCCCCAAACGGGCCCCTAAGACGACTCAAAGCTGCTTCTAAGAGGCCTCCGAGAGGCCTCCCACGAGATCCCAACAAACATCCACTAGGCTTCATACCTACAGCCCAGGCGCGGTGGCGGGACGGGCCGAAGGCCATGCTATCCGCCGCCCCCTGCTTGCAGGGGTGCACGGCGTGCTGGACGTTTCAGGTTTTGGTTTTGGTTCTTTTTCTAAAAGAACTCCCCAGTGGGCTTCGGCCCGTCCTGCCGGCCACGCGCAAATTTCCGAAAATCCGTCTGTCAATGCCCAAAAACGGCCGTTTCGCTCGGGACATCCTCAAAAAATCGCGAAGATGGCCCAAGATGGCCTCCAAGTCCGCCCGAGATGGTCCAAGACGGCCTCCAAAACGGCCCAAGAGAGTCCAAGACGGCCCAAGACGGCCCAAGAGGCCCCCCAGAGGCCTCCCAGACGGCCCAAGAGGCCTCCAAGAGGTCCTCCAGGAGAGTCCGAAGAGGCCAAAATCATTGATTTTCCATTGGTTTTTGAAGGATTTTGGCATTTGCGCCTTTTCGGCTCTCCGACGGCTCAAGACGGCCCAAGAAGCCCCCAAGATCGCCCAAGAGGCCCCCAAGAGAGCCCCATGATGGCCCAAGTGGCCTCCAAGATGGCCCCTCGAGGGCCCCAAGAGGGCCCAAGAGGCCTCCAACACGCCCAAGATGGCCTCCAAGACGCCCAAGATGGCCTCCAAGACGGCCCTGGAGCCGAACAAGCGGGCCCCAAGTCGGCCCATAGAGGCCCCCCAAACGGCTTCCGACGGCTTCAGACGTGCCAGGAACCCACCAAGATGGCCGAAGTTGGCTCGAAGCTGGCCCGAGACGGCCCAAAAAGCCCCAAAGATCGCCCAAAGCTTGCCCAAGAGGCCTCCAAGACGGCCAAGATGACCTTCAAGATGCCCACGTGTTCCCCGAAGGCTTTCCAAACCGATTCGGGGAACACGTGGTCCGATAGCTTGGCAGGTCTGGCCTCAACGTTCGGCCACATAGGCGCTTCCAAAAAGGCAGGGGGCGGCGGTGATTCGCCGTAGGCGTCTTCGATACACATCGATGCATGCTGTCGATGCGAAAGTCTTCTGATCTCTCTTTTTCAACCTGCTGTTTCATCCCTGCTCGCCCTGCTTTCATCTTTGGCGGCGCACACAAGGGGGTGGAGGGAGGGGGGGGGGGCTTCTTAGAAGGAGGCTGCGAAGGCGCCGGCCTTACATCTATAGATCCCGCGCCTTCTTAGAAGCAGGGGTGCTTCTAAGAAGCCCTCCCCCCTCCCCCACCCCCCTCTGCGCGTGGCTGATAGTCGTCTTTCCTTTCGCAGCGTAGACCCCGGCGCAGGTCTAGGACCCTTCCCCAGGACCAGCTGTTTATCCTTACTCGTTTTGTGGAGGCCCGGGGCCCAGTAGGGCCTCCGAAGGGTCCGAGCAGTGTCAAAAAGCTCCCGCCTTTTTTTTTTTTTTTTTTTTTTTTTTTTTTTTTTTTTTTTTTTTTTTTTTTTTTTTTTTTTTTTTTTTTTTTTTTTTGTTTTTTTTGTTTTTTTTGTTTTTTTTGTTTTGTTTTTTTTCATCTCTCTCTCTCTCTCGCGCAACCTGACTTGGGTTCGTGTTTTCCCAGAGCGTCCTCCTCTCTGCGCGTGGCTGAGGCCTGCTGCTTCAGCCCTGCTCGCCCTGCTGCCGCCTTCTGCCGCAAGTCCCGCCTTGCCGTCGGTCAGCCTGCCGTCCTCGAGGACCTGCAGCATGAGGTTCAGCACCTCGAGGTGGGGGGGGGGGCCCGAGCCACCCATCTCTGCGGGTGCTCTTCCCCAACCGACTGGTCGTGAGACCGTTGGAGGGCAGATCGACTGACCGACAGGGCAGTCGATGATAGACATATTATGGCGGCGCGCACACTGGGGGTGGAGGGAGGCGGGGTGGGGCTTCTTAGAAGGAGGCTGCTTCTTAGAAGGCGCCGGCCTTACATCTGCAGACACGGCCCGCCGCTTCTCAGAAGCAGGGGTGCTTCGAAGGAGCCCTCCCCCTCCCCCCTGCCGCCCTCTGCGCGTGGCCGAATATATTGAGATGAAGGAGGCAGCTCTCCGGCCAGTTCCCCTTCTGCCGGTGGATGCGCCCCCGTCTTGCTTCCACCAGCTCGCGCAGGGCTTCTGCCACCCTCGAGCAGGTGCCAACTTCTCGATCCCATTGAAGCGCCATGTGCGCACTGAGAGCGTTGGAGGTCGCACCAGCAGATCGTGACGTCGATAAGCAGGCAGGCGGATCGGCCGATGCATCGCAAAAGCCGATCGATCTGTTCGCCAGCGTGGGCCCCGAACAATGAGTTTTGTTGCACCCCGGATGCGCAACATAAGTGGTGACAGCAATGTGGTGTAAAGCTACGTGGCGCAAGCTGTGCACACTGGCGAAATCCGATGCGCAGCGAAGCCCTGCGCGCCGCCGCGCTGGTCCCGGGATGTGTGCTACAAGCTTTGTGGTGTCAGATACGTGGTGTGCGCCACGCGGTGCGTTGTCGCCTTTCTGGCGTAAGCTGCGTGGTGCAATATGTGCGGCGTAAGCTATGCAGCGTGCGCTAGGTGGTGTAAGTTGTGCAGCACCAACAAGGCTTGACCCACGTGCTGTTTCAAACGGAGTTGTGATGAAAACGACGAGGCAGTAAACGACTACGAGCGGCGACGAGCGGCGACTACCAGCGGGTACGGAGCGAACCCTCGACACACCCGCGCAGCGACGACGAGGCGCGACGAGCGGCGAATACAAGCGGTGACGAGCGGGCACGGGCGGCCACGGGACGAACCCTCGACACACATCCGTCCATTCCCTTGGGGCCTCAGTTCCATCGTGCAACCGCTGTTTGGGGAATGCAGAGCGTGAGATCAACCTCTCGATCGATTATGGTATCGATGGATCGAGGGT